AATCGCTGTTTCGCAAGCGGAAGTCGTGAGTTCTAATCCGGCAGGACTCGGGGGGTGTGCGCTACTGACGAGTCCCAATTGGAAGAAACGACCGTCCAGCGCTTTTCTGGATATGTGTTGGCTGTCTTCCTGTGTGTAACTGCGACGAATCTTCACTAAACCTAATAAATCCCTCCGCTACTGACAAGTGATGTCGCTCTCTGTTGTCTCACCTACTACGTAAGAGTTACTAGATAAACTGTTGCATAATGTTAGACGAGCCGGTACCTTCTCCACACTTTCGAACTGAGAAATGCTGCTACATTACTTATCCGGACACCCCGCCAGTTTTCGATATCGTCTCGGGGGTTTTCATCACTTTTTATGTACCCGCGTAACAGTTAGTTTTGTATTGTTTCCCAAAACCACATTTGTGCAAAGTTAAGTTTACAATGCGTTACTGTGTGGACCGGATGTGCACACTGCCTTCTAAGGAAACTGCACGGGTTACCATATATCACCACCAATGCCTACGTGGTATCACTCGCAACGGTAGGAGAAACGAGCATTTAGATCTTCCTTATTGCTGATCCCAGCTGGGATGATCTCATTGGCCGTTTACTCCAATTCTAACGAAAATCAACGACTTGACTCGAAAGCATGTCGCAGTATCAGCTACTGAAACGATACAAGTACTGCGAAAATCATCGCATATTTACGTCGTCTCAGAAATGTCCACTTTTCTAATAATTAAGTCTGTTACCAGAAATTGTAGTGGATAACCGATCTGACCAATGGTGAGGTAAAGGCTTGGGTCACGTGACAGGTATGAATTTCCCTGGAATGATTTGGTGGTCTGTGAGAATAACTCCTACGTAGGACATCTACAGAATACTTTATGGACATGTATAACCGTTGATCGTACAGTTCTATAAGCATCGCCCCTAAACTTTCCACACAGTCACCATTTCGTGGTCTATTTATTTCGCACACTCTCCTCTGTTTTTATCCACGAGATTTCTTTGTGCTTTCAGTAGCCTCAGTCTATGAGTTAAAAAGGCTCCGTTTTTGCTCTCATTCAACTGGAGGCATCTCTTTTTAAAGACGTCCTCTTCATGTTTGTTTATCTCCTCTAACTATAGCTTCATTGCGATGTGTATATGCATACGTTTTATAGTATGCAAAGACACGCTTCGCATATCAGTAGTCTGGCGCTGTTGTGCTACGGTTCTTGGAGTCACTAAGGGGTGAAGGTGAGCGAAAACACTTTGTGGGTGCACCCAGCTAACAATATCACTTTCACCCAGTGGAACTTATATTTGTGATAATCCGGCCAAGAGTAGCACATTGAGAGCAGGTCACTTTTCCCATTGGCTCAACCAATGCCATGCAATCGGATTACCTCTATTAATACCGCGACGTCACTTCTAAGGCGCGCATTGAAATCACCCAGTAGGAATAGCCAATCGCTCCTCGACACGGACCGTATCGCGAAGGACAACTGGACATTAAACTTAGCCTTTGCGTCACCAAGATAACAACGGTTGGGGGCGTACGTCTTAAGTAAGGCTGCAGGCTTGGACGCAAATCGATCACATTGCGATCAGTTACCGCTGGATAGCATGCCTTCAAAACCGTCGCTCAATTTGGAGCACGTGTGTAGACTCTCACCACGCACTTGTTAGCGCCGACTTGCCGGTGGGTTTCGACGAACGTCCGCAACGACGCTATGAACGAACTCAGGCGTTCTGAATGCGTATCAAAGTACGCTGGTATCTGAGCTGCATAAGCGCTCATTGAACACAGTTATAGGCTACCAGTCGCATATCCGCCAGACGTTATTAGCGGCAGGCATGTCTTTATGTGGCAAATTAAATTGCAAACCTGGACATTGGATCTCTGCACAGTCTCTGGAACTTTTGATACTCACCGATGTGTTCCAACTGGAAATGAATGCAATGAGAGACGCAAAACTCTCAGGGCGCAATTGCCTATTACCCTGAAGAGAGACCGTGAAGCGTGGTGATCTCATCGTGTTTCGGATATAGAAACAGCCGCTGCCGTTTGTATGCATCATAACTTTTTCCATCTGATACGAGAAACCGGCAGCAAAAAATCTGGTGTTAGCGAGGCCATATACGATGAGAGTGAACAGCCGATCCACAGTTTGGCAAAGCGCTTGGTGCGTTGGGCCGAACGCTTTGAGAAGCAGTTTAATCAATCAGAGTTGCCAGTTATTCCACCGGCCAATAAGTGCTCTACTTCCTGAGCCATCCCCTTGGATGCGCCCTCAAGCGAAGAAATCGAACGTGAGATCACACTGTTGAAATTGAACAACGCCGCCTAAGCAGGCAGACTTCCTCCAGCCCTCTTCACATTTGGGGACCTGCTCTTTTGGACGATTTACACAAGTCATTAGTTAATCAATGGGGGCACGAGACTGTCCCGACAGACTGGAGCTGCTCCGTAATAGTTCTAATTTTCAAGGGAGGCTCGCATTCCGAATACGGCAGTCATAGAGGAATCAGTCTGATCTCAATTGCCTCTAAGTTACTTGCCTCTGTCGTCCTTCATAGACTGACTGGCACTCGTGAAAGCCAGATGCGCGAGGAGCAAGCCGGGTTCCATCGAGATCGAGGCTACCTTGATCACCACTTCACATTACGTCAGTTGTTGGAGCACCGCCATGTTTATTGACGGCCCACCGTAGTCGTGTTATTAGACATCAAAAAGGCCTTTGATCCGGTGGACCAATGTGCCCTTTGTGACTGTCTACTCAGTAAAGGTTGTGCCCGAGAAATATGTACACGTCATCCGGGCGCTATACGCGCGTAGCTCGGACAGAGCGCGAGTTGACGGCAAGCTTTCACCGACTTTCAATATCTCCAACGGTGTTGTACAAGGTCACTCGCTGTCTTCGACGGCAAAAACTACTCACGAAGTTGCTGAGATTACCGATGTCAACGATGGTGCGGCAAGTAACCTCATCAATCCCTACAGTCAGAAGTACCATTACTCAGCGCGACTGCAGGAAATAGCAGTGAAGCTGACTGTCCTACAATGCATTGATGCGAACGTTGAATGACAATCGGAGGAGACTTGGGTGCATATACACTGGCGACTGAAACAAAATGGGATCCACCTTTTTCTTGTCTATGGTTTTCAGCTTCCTCAGAAGGCCAACGATCACGCTCAAAAAGTGCTACTACGAGCTAGCTTGTGTCAGCAGTGCAACGACGATCACAAGCGGATGCATTTACGCTGCCAACTTCCCGTCACATGTACCGCATGGCAAATGGAAGTGCATGTTCGTAGACACGAATGGATTCAGCCTCCATCTGCAGTGGACGCAGGCTCGCGCAAGAAGAGAGACGCGCGAACGTCCTCTTGTCTACAGTCACAAGCCGCGTGGTGACATAGATAGTGGCGGCCGTTCATTTCTTGATCAATCAGATGTACCAACAATATTGGATGTCATATAGAGTAATGACAAACAAAGCGCGTGTGCGAGGCATTCGACTTCGTACATATAATGTGTCTTTTCGAGATAATTAGCCTAGCCCGTCATTTTTAACTGTACCCAAAATTTACATAAGTGATCACGCCTGGAGCCGCTGAAACTCCTTGTATTACGAGTTAATGCACTGTATCCGAACTACCATGACCGATCGGCGACGAGTTGACACTGTCATTCTGCTTGCTGTGTATGAAGTCCCGTCATATCCTTAAGGATCACATGTCTGTCTTGTAATCCGAGGGCTCGGGTTCTAGCCTGCTTATGGGTCGGGAGACCCTCGCAGTATCCTTAGCCCACGTGCAACTGGTGGTGGTTTCGCAACGGCGAAGCGTCGGTACTGCGTACCGGCGTATTGCTGGTGCCTTTCTCTCTCTCTCTCTCTCTCTCTCTCTCTCTCTGTTAGCGAGTAATGAGTAGACGGATTTGGGTATGATCCGATTTGCTTTATCGCAATTCGATTTCAAACCGCATAGGTAATCTACGAATCCGAAATGCGTGGTGCGCATCCATCGGTCCCCCACTGGGGATCGAACCCATGACCGCTAGAGGCTAACGCCAACTAGCCAGCAGCTTATACCATTGTGCCATGGGGGGGGGGGGGGAGGACAACAGTGGTTGGCCGTCACGATCAGGTCCTCCCTTGCGAGCGCCTTGAATTCACACAGCAATTTTGAATACTGGTAGGGCTTAGATATTGATTACTAATGAGTAGACGGATTTGGGTATGATTCGATTTGGTTCATCGCAATTCGATTCCAAGCCGGATAGGTCGAGCTATATCGCAGTTAGGTTTCAATTCGTAACGGTCGGCTGTCGTCCCCCATGGCTGAGTTGCATAAGCTGCTGGCTAGTTGGCGTTAGCCTCTAGCGGTCATGGGTTCGATCCCCAGTAGGGGACCGATGGATGCGCGCCACTGACGAGCCCCATTAGGGCGAAACGCGCGTCTGGTGCTTTCCGGATTGGTAGCTTACCTATGCGGTCGGCCGGTGGCCGAGTGGTTGGCACGTTTGCTTTCCAACCATAAGGTCACCGGTTCGAATCCGCGTAGGGGTGGGCGTCCTCGCGGTATACTCAGCCCGCGCGCGACTGGTGGTGGTCGCGCGGCAGCGAAGCGCCGTTACGGCGTATAAGCTGACACATTTCATTTCATTCCCTATGCGACTTGGAATCGAATTGCGATGAACCAAATCGAATCATACACTTATTGTCCATACCATGTGTTGCCTTACCCCTTGATGTGATTCTGTAACACATGTCCCCTGTTTGTTGCTAACCTGTGCACCCACCTTTATTTTTCTATACAAATGATGCCATTGTGTCCTCTGTCAGACGCAGTGATCAGAATCGGACCGGATTTTCAAGCCGACTTGCCAGAATTCGAGGGCGAACCTTGTAAAGAAGCAGAATAACCTCAAAGTTAGTGGTGTTGAGCCTTTGGGATTACTTTTATAGGGTTGGTAGAAATGTGATTGAGAATTTGTAGATATTTTGGAGTAATAAGTGATGGGGTAAGGGGTGGATTAGAGGATAATATTAATAATGTTGGATATGTTTTATATTTTTATAATTTAATTAATTTGATTAGTGAAGAGTAATGGATTTGTGTATGAATGAGGTTTTTATGTAGGTTGGGGGATATTGTTTATGTTAATGATATAAATTGTGGGGGGGAGGATTTGGATTAGTAGGAGTGAATAAGTGGTGAGGGGGGGGTTTGGTATGGGGAGAGGTGGATATGGGGTTAATAGGGAGATAATTATTTTTATTTAGGTTTTGTAAATTAATGGTGTTTAAAGGTGAAGTGGGGGAGGGGGTGGGAGGAAGGATGGGGAGTAATTTGTAGATTGTGGTATGTATGTGGGTGATTGGGGGGGGAGGTAGAGAGAAATAATTATGAGATTGAATATATAGTATTTGAATGGGTTTAAAGTTGTTATAAGTGGACCGGGAGGCATGTGGATGGAAGCCACGTTCCATCAACTTAACTTGCCGAACTACCTCTTGGGTTGTTCGGGTTTACCCCGCTTCAGTAAAGTGTTTAGCAGCAGTACTTCAAGACGTGGTGAGTTTCCGCCTTGTAAGTCATAAATGTCTGTTTGACAACACAGCGACGTGGTTGGTGTGACTCACTACTAAATGAAGTCACTGCCCTTTGCTTCACCTCAGTGGGGCGTTGTACTCCAAAGTGTGCTGATTTCATCGGGAGGATTGCGCCTCTGTTTGGTAACCGATCAAACAAATGACATGTGGACGGAGAATTCAGTCACCGACTGTCAATGGGTACGATTCCGTCGTAATCTCTCACAGCTCATTCGATACACTGGCCACAGAAAGCCTGGTGTCATTGTAACTATTTGCGAAGTGGATGGTTCGCCGATTGCCAATCTACAGAGACCCTTGGATCGATAGGCCGAACATTTTCATCCCCAGTTCAATCTGCCCTCACCGTCCTTTTGTATGCCCTGCGAACCTAGCTGCGTGCCATGGGTCGTCACACTTGATCCACCCAATGAGGCGGTTTCTCTTGTGATCTAACGATTCGAGGCTGCCGGCTTAGACGGACTTCTTCCCGAGCTGTTGAAGTATGGAGGCGCAGTTACCATTAACAGCTAACCTCATTGTTGTCCAATATTTGGATTGAAGAAAAGGTGCCTTCTTCCTGGGGCAATTCAGTTATTCTCCCGATTTTTTAAGGAGGGTACTCGCACTTCATGCACCAATCACCGGAGAATTAGTTTCATTTTGATTGTATCCAACCTATTGGCATTCATTCTACTCTGTAGACAACCCCCTATTCGTGAATCGCAGTACCTGGAAGAACAAGCTGGCTTTCGTCGCGACCGTGGTTGTGTGGATCCTATATTCACGCTCTGCCAAATCCTCGAACACCGGCACCTCTACAAGTGGCTTTCCATCGTTGCATTCCTAGACAGCCGCGCGGTATTCGACTCGGTTGATGGACCTACGCTATGGCATTGTTTACTGAAGAACCAGTTCCCAGAAGAGTACACTGCCATCTTACGCGCACTCTATCTCTACATTTCCAGCAAAGTGAAGGTCTTGCAAACTTACTTCGCCCCTCGTTGTCAATAGCAGTCTGTTATAGCGCTCCTCTGTGTCCTTTTCTCTTCAATCTTGCGATTGAAGACGTGCTGTTGAGAGCATTGGAAAGTTACTAAACTTTTGATCTGCAGCTACTACCGGGCCAGCGAGCGACTGACTTAGATTATGTCACCTTATTTGGTAACGACTCACAGAATATGCAAACTTTTCTAAATCGTCTGGTCATTGAGACATTTAGGTACGGAATGTGCTTCGCCCCATCAAAGTGTAAATTGCTGCTCCAGCATTGGCGTTCACCCGTTCTTGTGCTCACCCTTGTCGGTACACAACTTGAATAATCACATGTGGCGTCGTCGGAATGTCACCATCTCGGTACAAAGTTGTGTTTCCAACACCACCGTTCGGGCGGCGTTGCTATCTGGAAGCGAGTCGTGGCCAGTTCGCGCGGATGACTTGCGCTGGCTCTCGGCCTTCAATGATATGTGCTTTAGTAGGATTGCTCCTGTGCGGTGGCAACAACGTATCTGCAACGGTGAAGTCAGATCTGGTTTGATGACAACGGGGTGACCATAGGAGCATTGGTGTCAGTGAAAAATGCAACTTATGCTTCATATACAGAGGATCCCAACAACTCTGAAACAATGGATAGCTCATGCAGGATGAGTCGGGGATTGCCTCGGGAATTCCGTCGCATCAAGATAGTATGGTGGACGGATAAGACAGAGCAGATAAGACACTATGCCAAACACCGTTAACATAAGGAATTCTACGCATCTTTGAATGTAGTATCGGCCTACACTGCAGCCGTTGCGGACTCTGATGTACACTCTTTTGGCGCTTCCTGCACACAGTACGGTCATTATGCATGTTTGCCACAATCATTCCGACTGTCTTTTAATCACCCGTTCCGAGCTTGATTGGGATACACTGCACAGGCTGCAACAGCAAGATACCAAGTACGGTGTTACTTAGGTGCGGAATGGCAAGTGCGCCGGCGCGGACGGGATACTTCCAAAAGTGCTGGAAAACGGCAGACCCGCGACGCTTCATGCGCTGCACCAAATAGCGGAACGCGTATGATTTGAAGAACAACTGCTAAATGAGCTGAGGAATGCCATTGTGCTACCACTGTGGAAAGGCAAAGGGATCAAGCGTTGTGCCAACAGTTCACTTCAGTTGAGCAACTATGATCTGAGTACCGAAGTGCAGCGGATCCAGTTGCCAAGGCTCACATCGCAAGGATAACAATAAGTAACAACTGTAAGATTAGTGCATCATCATCATCATCATACACGTTAGCTAGAGGTGGGGAACACCTCAGCTACTGTGCCGTAAAATTAGTGGGGCTTCCGGCAAATGGAACGCAAAGAAAATGGGAGCAAGGAAGTGCGCTAAACTATTTAACCACCAGTCTCAGGAAACCGAATGCGGAACGCCACTAACTGCGTGACTGGGTCATGTCTGATAAGATCTCCAACCATTAATGGGACCATCCCCAGACACCCGTCCACGAAGACGGCATGCACCAGCCTGACCAAGTCTCTCAGCCAATCTTTTAATGCCTCTATGCCACGTCATGGACTGACCACATCGCGGTTCGCCTAACGTAGAGTAGTCACGGAGTGTAATACACGCCGAGAAGTGGGCATATGGAGGACGTGATCTAGCTAACAGACATAAAGATTCAGCAAACACTTCAGAGGTGGACCAGAAGGCTTCTTGCCAAAAACCAACTGGCGTACCATAGCATTACTCACCCGGTGTTCCCAACAGACGTAAGCAATCTTCTGCAAGCACTGGTGGTTAAACATGGCCAAGCGTTTGATGTCTTCGCTGCGAACTGGCCAGGTCTGTGATCCATACGGTATGACCGGCCTTATCGCAGCATTATACACTTTGCTTTTTACTGATAAACTGATATATCGTGGCATCAACGTGCTAAGCTATCTTGGGATGATGATAGCTAGAATCCTGCTTGACCACATCGTCACTGAGGTTCTTTAACTAAACGTATCTCAAGAGCATTGCGGATTTCGTTCTGGCCGCAGGTCGATAGATGGGGCGTTCGCAACTCGTCGACTGCATGAGAAATGCCGAAAGCGACACCAACCATTATACTCGCTGATTGCTGACTTTACCAGGGCATTTCACACGGTGGACCGCAAGACGTTCTAGATGATTTTAGGTAACTATGGTTGCTTAGACAAGCTTTTTAGTCTTACTGAATGCCTTCACAGTGATATGTTGGCGAGGGTGCAGCTGTGTGGACAAATCTCAGACGACTTGGAAATTGTCTCTGCTGTGAAGCAAGGCCATGTCTTAGCTCCTACCCTGTTTAATACTTACCTATCTGCCATTATGTCTACTGCCTTCAATGCTTGTGAGTACGGTGTCTGTGTGGGGCGCTGTATTCATGGTGGTTTGCTGTACATCCACCGTTTCGGGCCTAGAATCCATATGCGTGAGACCACCATCCGACCAACTGCCTCCGAGAGCCAGTATAATCGAGGTGCCTGTTTTTCCACAGGTGGACACTGTCAACATTCACATCAAGCGCAACCACACCGGGGATGTCAGTCAACAGCCAATCACATGAAATGCATGAAAATCACGCAGACACGCGTACCGACAAACTGCAGTGATGACTTAACAAACGTTTTACATCAACCGCATTTATTGACTTGGGTTAGTAAATGGAATCGGAAACAGCATACCTACCATGCACTTTTGCTTATCTCCCTAGATTACTCGTTGCGTTATCGATATTGGCCCCTAGTAGCCACGTGGACAGCTTATCAGATCGGCTTGATTGAGACACACACTGCCGCATGTGCGACAGCACTATATGCTTGACGTCGGTGGGGTAGACTGCGTCGGCGCCCATTGCTTTAGCAACTGGTACCTGATGCAGTACCCATCTAGATGTGATCATGCCTTGGCGCCAATCCACTGACATTGCTTCTAAGCAATTAAACATTAGTTCGTGATAAACTTATCTTGATCATGTGCTGATAACGTAGCTTCGGCCCATCCAAATTCAATTCCTTGAACGCAGCTGGACATATAGCAAGTGTTTCGGTATCGTCGTCGAATCGATACGACCGACATGTCCGAGCTACCTCAGGTGCCGCAGTAGCAGCATGCAAGCCACTCCGCTCATACGGCTACGGCCGAACACGTGTCAGGCACTTTGTCACACCAACGAATGCACAGACACTGTTGATAAAATCGCTCCAGGTATCAAATATTGTTCCGAGACAGCGTCCATGTTTCGTTGCCGTAAGGAAGAACCGACAGCATCATCGACATGTATACCATCAGCTTGATCCCAACGGTAAGTTGGTGTTTCGTTTAGACCATGTGTTCCAGCTTGCCAAGCACAGTACTCATCTTCGAAACATGAGTGCGCGACTCGCTGGTCATCCGCAGGTCTGTTGACAGCATT